GAGACGGACTTTCTCTGGGAGTTTTGTTTCACGCTGGGTAAATAACACAAATAATAAATATACAAGGACCTCGTGGGCCTCTGGCTTTGAGTTTAGTTTATATTTAATCAGATTTCTCTGCTTTAGTACTGAAAAAACATCCTTGTTCCTTATTCTTCACATAAAACCCCCAAAACAGGGAGTCTGGAATAATTGAAAATCTAAAAAGAACATGTTTACTCTGGTATATTACCATATTTGCAAATGTATATAAGGACTCGGGTAACATCTGGAATCACGGAGTGGAACCCTAATTAATACGTCCCTTTAGTGACGTGAAACATGGCCGTAGCCGTTTGACAAACGATCTCAGACACCTGTGTTGCGCGGCGAGCCAGAAGGCAACAGCAGAGAATGATTTCTTTAACAGGCAGCCAAGAGGTCAAACTCTATTAGCGATGTTCCAGCAGACAATCTGAGGGAGAGCGCGTTGCTCATCTCGCTGAGAGTCTCTGAAAATGGGCACCTCTTTGTCAGGGCAATTTGTTGATGATGCATGGTTATGATAAGAATTGAGTGAAGTGCCCGTAGCCGGCCGGGGCCTCCACGGTTTAGGCGGCGGGGCCAACACAAGCAATCAGCCCAGGCCCAGATTGAATGCCTGATAGCCGAGGGTTCCCTGATTGCTCATAAGTACACCGGGCGGCGGGCATTTAACACACTCGCTGCTGATTTTTGAGTGACAGACGGTCAATCAAAATCAACATCTAGTTGCAACCACTATCAGTTCTGGAGTTTACATCACACGTCTGTGTCCGAACCATTGTCTGTCTGGCTCCAGGGAGAAAATCATCTCTTCCAGGTATTGGACGGTTCCATGTCGCTGTAAGATCACTTAAATCTGAACTGGAATTAGGTTTAACTCAACAGTTTTATGTCATGCAAATCGGACGTCTTTGGTTAATACTCACCGATGCTTTATCCTCACCAGTTTCAAAGATTTGGAAACTGTGTCAATAACTGTAGGAGACGCCATATTTACCAAGCAAAGATACATAATGAGTTCATTGCAATCTATTGCATCATGACAGCAACTGTCACAGTGACAAAGTGGAAATCAAATCCGGGAATCGTTTATTTTGTGTATCATCTCAACCTTCAGAAAACTCAATGGGTAACCATTTATTGCCTTTTCTGAGGCGAAGAATGCTGTCAAATGTCTAACATGGATATCTTTTTGTTGCTCATCTTACTTCACACTGACATCTGTGAATGGAAAAAGATAGTTGGTGGAGTAATCTCTTTAAGCTTGGCACCAATTATCCCGGGTATACCTTGAGGTTTCCAAGGTACATTTGTTCCAAGCGTCTTGAAAGTATCCCTCCACAACATGCACTGTTTCTGTTACTTATGTCTCTTCATTTATTCCCACACTAGCTCCTGTGATGTCCAGATCAGGGGCAACACCATGGCTTACAGGCCACTGTGTTCTATCAGTGCTTGAAGACAGTTCGTTAAAAATTCGGGCCGTACGTCGGGGGTCTTTGAGGGTAAACATATACGGTAAAAAGGGATGCGCACCACATGGATCCTAATTTAACTGGAGAGTAAAAATACAAACGGAGGGGAAAAAGTATAAGTTGTGAGTTACAACGAGGACTGTGGTGCTTGGAAATGCGCCAACCGAACATCAGGAAAAATTAATGCAATATTATACATGTGTGGCAAAAGCATTTAGTAATCATTCATTCATCTCCCATAAATGCCTCAACCTGTTCAGTGTCATGGGAGTATTTAACATCAGCGGAGGTTGCAATCAGTGGTTTCTAAACAGTTGAGTTATTCTATGTTTGTGGAATTGAATTGCATCATAAAAACACCATAAAAAAACACATTGCAGACAACCTTAGGAAAAGGAAATTGTTACAGATCAACTGACTTTAGTGGTTGTGTTATCATGTTTCGGGTCTGTTTGGCTGCATATGGGCCAGAAAAACTTCTCATCATTTATGGTACACTAAGCCATGGGATAAACCGAAGAAATGTCGGAAAATCGGTTTGTTTTGTGAACCATAAAGAGAATGTGTGCCACGCAGCAATGCAACAAAAGGACACACTCCTTGTTCTGATATCTAAACATTGTCCTATTTCCCTATTTTTTTCAAGTTTATCGAGCATACTAATAGTTTTTCTACATGTTTATTGAATAATTTTGACTTTGTGCTTTTAAAAGATAACACAGTTAAATGTTCCATTAAAGTAAATAATTCATCCACTGAACAGGGATCATCTCTCACTGACTGGCTGATTTCGATTCAGCATTTTTTCATCACTGAGGATTTTTTTTCAGCTGATTCAACGTGTGTAAGTTAAAGTTAATGAGTTTGACAGCATCCATGGTGCTTAATTAAAAAATTAAATAAAAGGACAAGAGAGACAGATGTTCACCAAGGGGCCTGACAGCCAACTGCCGGCTTGGTGAAGGATAGTGGTCAGGGCTTTTACAAAAATCTGATACTATTTTAGATCATATTTATGCTGAACTGACATCAATAATTTTACAGACAGCCATAGTTAGAAAAAGCTAAAGTCAGAACCTGAGGTCTGATATTTCTCTAAGCCTTTCTGACTTGGTCAAGTCTCAAATCTGTAGGCTCAGATGACTAAATATCTGTTTCTATTGGCCTAATATCAGTAATCCCAGGAGTACAGCTCAACTCAACATGAATAAACACAAGAAAAACAAAGATATTTGGAATTAGGCAGCCTTTTTCCACATAAATGATTTTTTTCCATGTGAGTTCAATCCCGAGGATGATTTAAATTTAAGATTCAGTAATTAAAATGACTGCTTTTATAGTGTTGAACAACCCCATGACTTCAGACACACTTATGTTAATTAAACTAGCCACAAACTTAACTACCAACCGAATCAGACCCTTTACCCTGGTTTTTTTTTCTTCTCTAGGCATATTGGAGACAATTGAATGATGTAAACATGGATCTGCAATTTCACATGGTTCACTTTCAATGCTTAAAAAATGAGTTTATCAAGACTAAAGTCTTGGAAATGGGTGTTTACTTCTGAAAAAAAGCGCATGGAGTAATATTCTTTATATTAAAATCTGTGTAAGATGTCATCAACTGTCCATAGAGATTTTGTTTTTTGGAGTAATGACCTTCGTATCTCCAAAGTCTACGCAAGAAAAGACGTCTTATCGCTCGCACACATGCGTATTTCTTTTGTCAGTCACCACTGAAGATGCTCCATTTGAACACATCCAGAACGAGGCTCCCTTTGACTGCATCATGCAGGCATGGTTAACTCGCAAAAAGGCTCCTCACATGGCCGACGGTGGGCCTCACAGTCACTACACAAGACTTTATTGAGCATGGCGCTTTGTCTCCATCAGCTCTTTCAACTACAAACGTCTCATCAAAAATGAAAGAAAAAAAAAAGCTTTTTTTCTTTTGCCTCTGTCTCTCTAACCCCCTCCCTGGCTTTCTCAATGTGCGAGAATAAGGCGTCAGTTTTACAGTAATTCATAAGCACGGCTGGATTTTGGTCGTGGCTTTGACTTTTATCTGCGTAGTGGTAATCTCTCTAGACGCGTTCAGATAGCCTAAAAAAAGCTCCTCAGCCTTTTAAGGAACTGAATGTCAACTTTATTTTCAGCAAAAGGATAAAAACATCATTTGCACAGTTCTGCCTCTTTAAAATAAATAATAATACATATCGGTCGCACGTGTGCACACCCAATTGTAACGTAACGTGTTTCAGCTAGAAAAAAAATAAAAAAAATTGGCACAATATGATTATCGTACAGCTATCCTTTCACCTCACCGTCACTATTCAAACCTTTTTTTTAATTAAATTTCTGAATGACAATATACAGTGGACTCTGCAAACTACAGAAGCAAAATGAATGTACTTACAAACTGCAACTTCACCCCAGCAACGAATGCCACTTCAAAAAACAAATTCTTTTTTTTTTTTTCTATAGGCTAAGTGGCACACATCTCAAGCACGATGATGATATTTCCATCAGCACGAATCGGTGATGGAGCACGGGTCCACTTGCCTCGTACAAAAAGCAGAACAACTAAATCCCGCCAGTTATATAGCTGAGAAATTATACACTTTGCGATAGGAACGCGGAAGAGGAAACGGACTGAGACACACACCACGTTGCAACATCTGTAAAATGTATTGTTCCAAGAAGAAGAAGAGAAATTATGTTTTTCCTGTTTCACTCAGTGGTGACATCATAGTGAAGGGAGTCACTCACATCACTTCCTTAGCACATCAACTACGCGTTTATACCGTACTGCATGTACACAGTTGCACTTCATATATAGTTGAGAGGTATGGCCGAGTCCAGGAGTAATTTGGCTCTGGATGGAAATTTTTATGAAAACAGCCCCTCAACAAACTGCTATCCCCCAAAGAAATACAGAAACGGAAAAATAAAGGAAACATATAAATCGCTCTTGCACATTTGAGCAATCGAGTGACCACTGATCAGCTGCCAGGGAGACAGCATTTCATGAGAAACCTTAAATGTTTTTTTTTTTGTTTTTTTTTCCGGCACAAAGATAGCAAAGAAATGCATCAAAGCGAGAGTGCTGGGCCCGTGCCCATCGCTGGAATGAAAGGACAGGTGCCTCCCTGTAAAAAAACCGCTCCGCGTTGTAATGCATTCTGCAGTCAACGGGTTGGGCAGGAGCCAAAAAATTTTGAAACCTTTAATGTCTTCTGCACACAAGGTTTCCTCCTCTGTCGAGCCACTTTTTGAAGTCCGTGTCAAATCTCACCGTGGCACTCTTTTTTTTTGAAAATCCATACTGTGAGGTATAAACAAACCAAATCTTTTTGAAGTCAAAGTGTTTTTTTTCTGTCGATCTCTCGCGTTGCCTTTTGAATCTTTTCCACGGCCGACGAAATTGTTTTTTTCTCCGACAATAAATGACCGGTTTATCTTAAAGTCCGAGAAACTTGAAGGGGGGCGACGTTTCGGGGGCTATGAGAAGACGGCGGCGCCGTCGCCGTTGCCGTACAGGTCGGCCAGCTTTTTAAAGCGCGGCCCCCAGCTGCCGAGGTAGTCGTAGTTCTGGTCCGAGTCCGTGCTTAGGGACTCCAGCGAGCTCAGCGACTCGGCCACCGAGCCGCTGCCCTCGAAGGCGTACGTCTGCAGCGAGTCGTACGGCGGGGCCGACGGGTCCACGTCGGCGTCCTTTAGCCGCTCCCAGATGAACTCTCGGAACACCACGTTGTCCGGCAGGGACTTGTAGGCCGGGCGGGAGGCGGACGGGTAGTGGAAGAAAGTCGGCGTGTCCGGCGTGACGTCCCGCCTGGCGCTGGGGTCCCGGATCACGTTGAGGTTGCGCAGGGTGACCATGTCGAAGGCCTCGGTGTCCTCCTCCCCCCCTCCCTCGTCGTCGTAGCGGACGATGTTCTCCCGGATGTCGCGCTCCTCCTCCAGGATCAGCGGCTCCTTTCTCCTCCGGCGCATCGTCACAATTAATAGAACCATCACTGGGGAGAAAGGGGAGAAACGGTTGAGTCGATAGGAAAACAGATGGATTGCGTTCTCTCGGCGCCATGCGAGCGGAGGAGATGCTGGAAACATTGACTGCGGAGGATAAACAGATACTTGAGAAAAGAAATGAACAACTGAATGAATCAAATTGACTGAACATGTTTGGAGCATAACTTGGGCCCTGCACAGAAGAAATTGGGGAGTATGAGTGATAATCATTGTTCTGCATTTATTGCCCACTTTCATCCAACACAATGAGAACTAAAACTATTTTTTTGGGGGAAAAATCCAATCGAGTGAACATATTAATTTACTCTGTTTAGTTTGCAAGCGGGTTTTAAAATCAGGCTACATGTCTTCCGATGTGCGTCATATGTTCCTCGCCAATAATGCTGAGGAACGTAGGTGTTAGAATGCTTTACAAAGTACATAAGAACATAAAACAACCCTCCAGTAACACAGAGCCAAATGCAAACTTCACCCCTTTTTTTAAACCAGATTTGAACCAGCCAATCTGGCAACTTTAAGACCAAGGAGTGTTTTCCCCTTAGAATGGCATGAGCTTTTCTGAGTGTCTGGAACATAGCTGTTGCATTTCACAGAGCTACTCGCCTGAACATTGAAGGGTGGGAAAGCGATCACCAGTCGGTCCCGTCAAATGTGCTTCACCCACTCCATGATACTTAGTCTGAATTGTGACTGGGTGCCTTGTGTGAAGAGAGATTCATTTTTTTCCGTAAATGATGCTGGTTTGTCATGCAGAGTGCAGGAGAGAAAAAGACCTGATTTTAAAAATAACCTCACTCATGTGTACTTAGCCTCAGTCACATCGAGGATGGTGGACTTGAAGTCTGACTCATAGCGCAGGTTTACTTTTGGTTCCATATAATACTAAAATTAACACGGAAGTTAAGTTAACAGGCCGTTCTCTTTTGGAATCTACTTTTAGTTTGATTTGTTCAGGAGCTAGCTCTCTACCTTCAATAGAAGGATTAATATTTTTATATGGGTAAATGCTGTCGTTAGGGATGGCTGACCGCGATCTGCAGGACCTCTCATCGATACTCAAAGCATCTTTTCTTTTTTAAGTACTGGCATGACATGAATTGGATACATTTTAATTACTTTGTTTTAATTGGATGAAGGTGAACCAGATTATGACTGGACTGAACTGAACTTCAAAGTGGACACTTTCTGATTGGCCCTTTCCACCCAAGCACTGTGAGTTCACGTTAGCAGTGATATAAATAGCCAGAAAAATACAGTTGTTTTTATTAACTATCTCTATTGCAATCACGACTTACGTGCAGTTTGAGAAAATATCATAAAAACGACTGACCGAAGTTTTGCGCAAACATTTCAGATGGGTTTGCTAAAAATAAGAAAAACTATGACACCAACAAGAAAACTGATAAACAGTTCTAAGATACATTTTTCTGTTTGATATAGAATCATATATATTATTGTGCTTGCCTTTTGTTTTCCACCGCCCACATTTTGCTTCGAGACTCGTTCAGAACTCCACCAAACTGGAATCCGTGCTCCTCTGAGATCCTACCAGAAGCCCTCCTCCAGCCCTTGCTCCCTCTCCCATACATTATTGCTGAAAATAACTACGCCCAAGCAAACTGGCAAATGTCTAATGATCCCCTATCCATCAACGTCAGGCTGGTGCCAGTGAAATATCGTTCTGAGGGTCCATATTTCTTTTCCTGCTCGGCATCGAGCAACTGCTGGCGGGGGAGAAGGAGGCCCGGGAACCAAATTCAAAGACCACTTCACACCCTCTAATAAAGGAACAAATGGAAGAGATGGAGGGAGGAAGGTGTCGCATGGAAAAGACGGCAGGAGATGAATGAGCAACCCGGCTTTAGCTATTTGGTGACTGCTTGTACCGTACAAAAGCAACTCTAGTGTCAAAGCTCACCAGTTCTGGAGACATACTTGGAATGGTCCCCAGAAATATAAAACATTTTACAGTCCCCTGAGGTAAACATCTTAACCTTTCTGGGGAAGATTGTTTCCTCTGATTTGAGGAACTCCAGTCATCCCAAATTCTATTTAATTCAGTGAGTCTTCTCAAAGTGAATTACAAAGTGGTACATCCAAATTGAATATTCTCGGCGCTTTCCAGCAAAGCTCTTTCGGGTTTCGAGCCTCCAGGCCTGCCACAGTACGTCACGGACTGGAAACGAGCCAACATCTGGTTACATCCCCGTAGGGCGAGCAGGTGGATGGCAGAACATACAAACAGTCTGGGTGAGGCGTTCAGGGTCCAGTAAAACACGGTTTCCCACTTTGGTGGTGTAGCTATTACAACTGGTATACGACATCAGGACATGTACTGTAGATGTAAATTAAACAAACAGCAGAAGAAGAGGAGATCAATTCAGCTCTACAAAGCTTTTTGCTGTAATTGAATTGTTTAAATGATCTACCCCACACAATCGATAGTGAACAAGGTGAAGTTTCTGCGCTGCCCTTCTCTTGCCATCACATATCACTTTCTCATTAGAGGACTTCTATATGCGCTGTTTGAATGCGCTGAACATGGGACTGATTATTTACTCACTTTGTCATTCCCGATCGCTCTGTGTCTGCTGAATCCATCTCATAAGGGACGTATTCATCAGCAGCTGTGATGCTGTCTGATATGACAAGAGGCCTTATGCTTAGATACTAATTAATGATAGCCCAAGTGTGTTTGTAATGATGTCAGTCACATTCATTTAAAAAAAAAAAGAAATAGCAAAACCCATGTCAGGTTATTAGAGACCCCCATGACCCTGAATTTTACCATGAGTAGGGCAGTCCAGATTAAAAAAAAAAAAAAAAGTATTCTAATTTTCTCGTGCAATTAGATGTATGATAAATCATGTTTCTATGACATTTCAAAGATCTTTTCACATGTTTTTCATTCTAAAATATTAAATATATTTCAGACACCAAATTCTGTAAACTGTATTTTTTTAGTCCAGGAAAATATTTCTTAAGATATGTGTTCAAAGCCAGAAAATGCCTCGCTGGCAATAAACAACACAGTTTAAGTGTTCCTGTGACTACAGCGGAAATCGCTCAATAAAGACATACACAGAAGACTTTCAAAGACAGAGGAGTGAACATTGAGATTTATGGAATGAGTCTGATAATCAACTCAGTTTCTCAGATAAAAATAACTGTCTGGAGATTTGGAGTGCTACATAATGTCCTAATTGGCCCTCTAGAGGACTGAGCAAATACCTGACCCATTCCAGGGAAAAAGACACAGGATCTTAACAAGATAATGGCTGTCTCAGTAGTTAAGATGTGTCTTCCAAAAGTGGCCGTATCATTAAAAATGGGTGTTTAAATGACATTTCTTAGAGCCACAGTTGTGTTCAGGCATTTTCAGGGCTATTATTGCAAAAGGCACAGGACAAGCTCGGTAATTAAATCTAAAAATATCAAGCTATGATTGATGACCACTCAGCATATGAGCATGTAGGGCTAATGCGAATGCACACACAGCTCTGAGTGGTTTATGGCCTAGCGGGTGAAAACTGCACATTTTCTTTCGGGCAAACTGACGGATGCAAAGACAAGTGGAGGAGTGGCACACACACAACAACGTACAGTGTCGTTATTAGATTCAACCATGACGACAGATAACCGGGATCAGTGTTACCGGTGGGAGTGTGTGTTCCTCTCCCCCCCGATGGGAGAGATAGAGAGATTAACGGACGAAAAGAGGAAGAAAAAAAATGCTTATTCAAGAGTGACAGCACCTGAGGATGACAGCAGCGAGACGGAGCTCGGCTCAATTGTCATCCGCAACACAATCACACGCAATCACGGACCCAATTGCTACCTACAGACTGAAAAAGATATTGATGGAAGGCTATCAAGGAAGATAAGAATAAGGCCCGCGCAGACGTCATGCACGGGATGTTAATGCAGCAGAAGTAAAATGCATCTGGGATAATAAGAATGAGAAAAAATGGAGGAGTAAAAAAAAACAACAGGAAAAGAAAAAAAAAAGAAGAAAGAAAAATAGAAAAATCTGGCATGTGGGGGACAATGAAGCATGCACAGCCGCTTTCGCACAAACGCGGAGACAAGGCGACTAGGAGGTATATTAAACTGGAGGCCATTAGTTCTAAGCCTGTGGCCCGAGGCCAGGCTGTGTAGCACGGAGTCAGCTTTCATTAGCAGTGCTGGTTTCAGGGCTGCCCGGCGAAATATTTCCCCCTGTTGCTCTTTAGAAGTTTCCATTAATCTCAAAAAGTGTCCTCTGATGCCTCGAAAGGGAGGGAAATTTCACGTGGAGGAGGATAAAAAAAAAAAACGAGGTTTGACCCCGTCAGAGGTTTTGGTCTGGATTATTGCGCGTGCCGTTTAGACGGCCCTCTGCTGTCAGCGAGGATCAGCAAAGCGCTAAACTGTGACTCTGCTCTGATGGGGGATCGCTTTGTTTGTGGGTTTTTTACGAGCAATAATGCTGCCCGGAGGTGACGGGCTCCACGCCGCATCATCTGTGAGCGCACGCTAATGAATCCTCATTTACAAGTGTCTTTACATACGATATTACGCCAAACAGAAGCAGCCTGCCTTTTGAAATGCAACATAATACGAGCCTGCGTGACACCCTAAAATATCATAAAGCAAAGAGCAATGCACTGGCATATTTCTGAGAGTGGCTGTCATAATAGTTCCTGTAGATGACTCAAGGATTTTTTGTGCATAATTTACCTTTTCACTGATCAAATTCAGTGGAAATAATCTCAACAGGCTCCAAAGGATTTTAAAATTCAAACGCAGCCCTCTTGATGCCTTGTATCGATTTTTGTGTTTGATTGAGTGTATGTATTCACATAAATAAGAAAAGGACGAAGCTGGATATACAGGAATACTATCACAGCCGCTTCCTCTTTTGGAAATATAGTCGTATCCCCTCACATTTCTCACAGTCTGGACCAGTAACTAATGATCATAGAGTCAAGGTGACCATATAGATCTGATCATCTCTTGGTTGTGAATTCATTTTCCTCTGTGACAGGGTCAGCTAAGCACTCAGGCAAAAATAATAAAATAAAAATACTCAAAAATTCCCCAAAAGCTGCAACTCCAACCAAATTGATCTTGTTGGCAGGATTAGAGTAATGTTTTACTTTCAGGCGGCTTACTGAGGCCACGCGTGTTTGAAAGAGAGGACATAGGAAGGGAAGATATCTCCCAGGAGGTTTGACCTCAAGAGGCAACTGTTTTTTTAACCGGGCTTCTCTTCGGGTGCCCACAGATAAGTCAGCATGGGTAAAAAAAACACAAAGTGGCCTGCAGTTCATAGTGCAGTGCTGTAAATCTCATTACCTCCACTTCCATCTGAACTGCACCGGTTGTTAGCCTAAATATATTCCCAACTCAAAATATATCCACTCCTTATATTAGCTAAAGGACTGAATTTAAATGGTAACAAGAAGTCAAAGATAGAGGGTTCATATTTTTTTATGTGTAAAGAGTTGAAGTGAGAATGAAATTGCGGAGTCACTGAGCATTTTTTAAATGTTTTTATCGTACATTTTCCTCCCCTTTGTGAAGTTATTGTTAAGGATAATACAAAGGAAATGTGAAAGTATTACATCACGAAGATGGATGCTACAAAATCCCCCTAATAGCCTTAGCAGACGGAGATTGAACCTCTCATGCTTCGACTTTGCGTCTAATCCTCGGGAACAGACCCTAATAGCGGCGTGACTCATGCAGTGGTGTGGGCACAAAGCTGCCCAGCAGAAACCTGCAGCAGGGCCTCTTCCCCAGGCCACACTTCAAGGTGAGCGGCCATTATCCTTAACCCAGGAGAGCCATCCGGAATACTTAGTTTTTCAACAATACGCTTTCCTGGGTTGCACCTTGTCTGGCCTCTCACCTAAGACTAATTTGCCTTGGGACACCCTACCCAGGGCACACTGCCCCAGAATACTTGGCTTCCAAACCCCTACATCACCCTCAGAAGGTGATGCGCACTGCAATCCATTTATTAGTATAAAGAGAAGAATGAGCCTTGGAAAAGACTCACATGTCACATAGTAGATGGAGCATCTCTCCAGAAGAGCTAGCTCACGATGAAAACGGATGAATAAATGAGTATTGATTAGTTTTCTTTTGTATTATCTGACAATAATACTATCTGACAAATGTTTTTCACTGTCATTAAAACATTGATTGTTTTTATACAAATGGTGTGTTAAATGCACAGTTAAATTAATATACATAATCAGGCATACGTGTTAAAAAATGTCTTGCATACTTTCCAAAAAAGGCTGAGTGGACAGCGAGATGTCTAACAAGACCTAAATTTAAAGAATATGCATTTACTTTTTTGGAATTATTGATAAAGTTTGTATCCCATGAAATTATACTAAATGCCTACCTATTTTCTAAGCTACCGCTGTCTATAAGATGCTCATAAATGGCAACTTTGGATTATAATTTCTCACAGCTTCTGAATCTCTACATACCAAACAATCAACAGATCACACAGGAAAGCACGAGCAGGGTAAATCACCAAAAACAATGATTAGACGCAGCCATATTCATGAATACAATCTGAAAAAAGTCAAGCTGTTTGAAGGTCTAACAATGTTTATGCGCTGCTTTCTGCTGCCTCTTTCTTGCTTTCTTTCTGATTTGGTGTGTTTATCGCTCATCATACTTCCAATTAGGACTTCAGCTTGGCAACAAACACACATTTCAAGCTGAAGTTTAGCAACTTCTCTTAAAAAAAAAAGTCTTTGTTGATTCGGGGTATCTGTGTTTTTTTTTTCTTCCCACCGAGAAATAAATTTTCTTCCTAAGCCATTATCTACCATGACGGAATATGCCCCGACTCTGTTAAGTCCTTGTTTGTGTAACGTTAGTTGCCATTAGCTTGCTTTAGCTCTTTCCCTGACAATGTTTGAACTTTTCCTGTGTGATATGTTCTTTTATCTTTTACAGCCGCTTAATGGACTGCAGTAACCAGCTTTAATAGCTCAAATCTGAGGACCTGAAGCATTTAACGTAAAATGTAAATTTACTCAAGTGGAGAACATAACTTTTCACTCTTAAAAATTATACTACGATGTGTTATTACTCTTCTGCATCGATATATTGCGGAATTAAATTCTCTACTGCATATATTTCACAGATAGATCGTAAACAATGTTATTGTAATAGAATGAATAACCAAAGAAAAGCTTAATGACTGGGGTACTTTTCTAGTGGAATATTCCAAGAAAAACCAAAACACCCTTTCAAGAAAGATCAGACATGTGCACACTATAAGTATAAAACCACATAAAGGAGCTCAATAGTCAAAGTTTGAGTTCCTCGAAGATGATGTTACCTTTTCAATCCTTGAAGAAATATTGACTAATTTTAACTTTTGAACAGTCATGGCTTCCTTTAAGCACGCCCTCAAAACAGTAGGCACTCTTCAGCTATGAAGAGACCAGATTATTATAGAGATTAATTGAAAAGAGTTGCCAGTGAATGGGGACAACAAACTGGTTGTTCTTTGTACTACTGTGTAGGAACACCTCCATTAGAAGAAACTTACACATTAGAAGTTTGCGAATGAAAATCCAACAAACATGTGAAGAATATTTGAAACATCCGCAGAGATGTATGTTGCCCACGAAGAGAACACCACTAAATGATTGGTTATTTGATTTATATATTGACCTTTAAAATTGTACAATATATGAGTTTTCAAAAGAACTAAGAACACTTCCTCCTAAATCTGGCCTTCATAGATTATATAATGACTGACGTTGAGATGTTTGAGCCTCTTTCAGCTTTTGTTCAGCAGTTTATTGCCTGCTTTTTTGGTCTCCATAAAGAGACCTCATAGTATGCAGTGATAAAGTTATGCTGAGCGACCTTTTATGCTTCTCCACTCTCATAGTTAAAATGTATTTCATTTTCCAAACAAAGGGGATAAATGTGCAGTTAGTCTGAGCTGACTTTGACTTAACTCAAATAAGATGAGGACAAAAGGAGGATTGCCTTGATATTTGGATCCAAAACACACAGTTTAGTGTTCTCCCTCAAGAGGTCATGATCTTTATTTTCCTAAACTGTAAGCATTGTTCAAAGTTTGTTGATAGACCTCAGAAAAGAATGCAAAGTTATGCAAAGTTAGGTACATTGTGGGAAGATATGATAATTGAGAAATGCCACTCAGGTGATAGCAAAATATGATAAAAAAATGCTCATTTTGAACTTCCGCTTAATCTTTTATTCATTGAGCTGTTCATTCTGACCCAACTTGTTCCGAAAGTACCAATACAGACATCACACCTTTTTATATAGCATTCTGGATTTTTAGTTTTACTGTCGCTACACAGTTAAAGATCCAAATACCAAAGAAAGATATTTTGGGGGCGATCTATAAGCCACCTCTAACAGGAGCAAAACTGAAAAAGGGTAAACAGCTCTTACCCAGGAGCGTGATGATGCAGCCCAGGATGGCCAGCAGGGCGCCGGTGCTCAGGCCGGTGGCGGTGTAGGCCACCGCCCCGCAGGACAGGGCCACGCCGTCGGAGTCGCAGTCGCACACGCGCACCGACAGCGTGTTGGTGCTGCTGAGGGCCGGGCTCCCGCTGTCCACGATCAGCACGGGCAGGCCGTACATGGGCTGCTCGCGCCTCTTGAAGCCTCCCCGTTTGGTCAGTATGGACGCCGTGTTGTCTGTAAAAGCACACCTGTCATTTTTGTGTCGACGGTTTTCCCGATGAACAATAAACTCCCATTTCATTCGGCCGCTGGCCGCTTCCCCGTAGAGCTGCGACTTGAAAAGATTTTTTGTATTTCGCATCAAAATCCGGACCGCCAACAGATGGTGTCATTAACACAGTTCGTTATAAGGCACACCGTGGCGTCTCTCCCTGCTCTTGACCACCTGTTGGCCACTAACAGCTTTAATACCGTGATAAGGCTCACATAAATTCAAAGCCCAGGGGAAGCAGCAAGACGACAACAATTTGTCATAAGAAGGTCTATAAAAGAAAAGACCTTTCACGGCAATTGTATCAGGAGATTGAAATTCATTCTCAAACTGTGCGGCGACAATTGAAATGTAGATTGTTGCCTTGAAGGACAATTGCTTTGTTTGGAAGAAGGATATTCAGCTTTCAGACCAGACAGAGAAGAAGGTAAAACTGAATATACAGAAGGGTCTTATTGTAAATGTCACATTGGAAAAGCTAAAAAAACACATTCTTATGGATGAAGAAAATCAATAATGGTGTGATAAACACAATGATTTTTGAGGGGAAAGGACACCTAAGATATTGACTGGATTTGTTCTGGAACTAAATATAAAATTTTATGAAAGCTCATAGTGTATAGAAAAATCAGCACAAACTCAAATGCTATGCCCAAATGTCAGTTTTTGGATTTTGGAATCAGACTGAAGAAATTTACCACAGACACATCAGGAAAGTCATAAATTGGGTGACAAGGTTGAGTTTTTACATCCATACCAAAGGTTTGAGGAAAGAGATCCCTGCAGGCTAAAGTATTCTGAACCAAACTGGGAAAATATTTGTTTTTACTATGGCTTTAGCAATTAGCTTTTCAGTTCTTGCACATGAAAAATAGATGGACTCTATGATGATTGAATAAATACCCTTCTGACTGTTTCTAGCAAGTTTCATCCTCTTCCCATCAGAACGACCTGATGTCCAGTTTAAGAACCACTCCATTTATATGTTGTGAACAGGATTAAAGGGAAGAACAAAGCTGAAAAGTTCTGCTGGTTGGAGTTTGGAGAGTTAAGTAGGGCTGCAAAGCACACCGGCGGAAACCTTACCATCAAAAATCCTACCCTCGGTCGACCCATACAACTTTTATCACCTGTACCAGGTGGTAGTCATAAGTAATAAATATGTTTAAAAGAAATCTGGATGAAAGCGAGAGGCGCCCCCTGTTCCATATATCAGATTCTTACTACATGACTTTTATCTGCCATCTGTAAACACCTGCTCACTCACACTGAAGCAGCGAGGCCACAGCTTGCTCCAGTCAACTGTCACACCTGGATCATTTTTATGAAGGCGAGTGTCCCTTCAAATGTATATTACACTAAGAAGGCAGAATCTTTTTTTGCAGCGACAAGCGTTGCATATTTAACTTTTCCAAATATCCATCCGTCCGTCTATACTCAGCGTCCTGAAAACCACAGGGGGAGCAGAGATATCCAGACCCATTTGTCACCTGAGACTTTTCGCAGCTCCTCCAGAGCATGGAAATATGATTCTCTACCCCAGAACACCTGGGTCATCCCCTCAGCAGGCCAGTAAAAAAAAAGAAAAAATGAAACGAAAAATCCTTATTCCGGCAGAGTACCAAAACAGATCCGGAATATCAAAATGGATATGAAACGCCAGGACTGTTTCATTTCAACAAACAAGCAGTTGTGCAGTCATGCTGTGCGCACACACTCATGCATGAGTGAATTAACACAAGCAAAGTGAAAAGATAATGTCAATATATGTGGACAAAAGGGGACAAGTATGGGGACACTGAATCTTAGAAAGTGATCCAATTTTCTCTCAAAGAGACGAAAATATCAAAAGACGTGACTGAAATTAAAAACACAACAATTAGACCCGATGTGAAAAAAAAACAATCCAACAGAAAACCAGATGAGCTGTTACCCAGCAAGCTTCAGTTGTCAAAAAGTGGCAGTATGATTGCAAACCAATTTCGGCAATATTTTGTTAGTACTGCACAGAAATCATGGGGAGCAGTGACTTCAGTAGCTTCATTTCCTGCACAACAATTAAACATTGCACGGCTGACTGGGAAATAGATTGAATATGTGAGTTTCCTAAGTATAGCTAATCCCAGCAAAGTCTCTGATTTAAACTACAAAAAAGTAACATTTGATATTATCTAAGATGGTCGTTTCTTAAGGTATTTTAAGGACAACATTTCTGAAAATAAAAAAATAAATAAAAAATCAGATGCATTTAGCTTCAAATGAGAAAGCAAAATAAGTAACACAAAGAAAACTGTGAATCTGCTGTACAGACACCCAAGGTGAGCACTCGCCTTATGTAAAGCCCTGAGAGTCCTTAACCCTTTAAAGCCCGATTCCAGAAAATACAGGGATACTTTTTGTCATTGTTTGAAGTCTTTATTTGACCCTTCACAAAATAGGAGAAAAAACAGAAATGATTTTTGAATATTCATCATTTATTACCTTCTGCTAAGTCAAAATGATTGCGCAAAGTCTTTTTCCCACTGTTATTAGGCCTGTTATTATACCTGATTGTGTACAACAAGGTTTTGAACAAAGTTTTTACCATGAAATGGTGCAGAAGGCCTCAGAAGCTCCATTTTTCAGAAATCGTATGTATCGAATATGACATATATGGGGTTAAGATATATAGGGTTAAGAAACATCAGAGAACTCGCTGTAAAACAAGTTGCTTTTGACCTGTAAGAGGTCACATCCAATGGATGGCTCTGGAACAATCTTTCTGCTTTTTAGGAGACTTAACTCAGACAGAATATGAGCAATGCCTGAGATCTTACAGGACACTGGGGGGTTTGTAGACGGTTGTTGTGATTGAGTCCAGCAGAACCCTCACAGGTCTTCAAAGGTATATGCAAATTAAAAAACAAGTTTCCCTGTGGGAGAAGCTCATTTTCTTCATCTGCCTACTGTCTTCTGTGTGGTAAGCGTAGCGGTAAGCGTATCGACCCATTTCCGTTTCCGGTGTTAGCGGTGTTTGTGTGGTGGTAGCGCTTTTTTCTCTGCTCTCGCTAACTACCATATAACGTAATTATATTTCAGTAAGTTTGCCTAAGCACCAATAGTTCTTTCCATCTTGGGTGACTGCTGTTCTGTCTTATAGCGGATGTAACAAAGGTTCCGGTGGCTCTACCGTACTTTTGTTTAGCCGTTAGCGACTTTAACAGCTAGCGATGGCTTCTCCCCCTCGCTCTCCTGCTCTTTCTTGCTCGGTGTGTCTGATGTTTAGTTACTCCTCTGCCTCCTTTAACGGTAGTGGTATGTGTAACAAGTGTAGTTTGTTTCTAGACATGGAGGCGAGGCTCAGTGCGTTAGAAGCTCGGCTCCGCACCGTAGTAGAGCAGCCCTTAGCTAGGCTAGCTAAGTGTAGCCAGTCCCAGGTAGTCGGTGCGGACCGACCTGAGTTAGCTGATAGCCGTCCCCCCCCTTCCCCCCCTCCGGCCTCTCCTGAGCAGCCAGGAAAAGGAAGCTGGGTGGCTGTCCGAGGGAGGAATAGCCGTAAAAAGTCTAAGCACCTAGTGTCCCCTCAATCTGTTCGAGTAGCTAACAGATTTTCCCCACTCAGCGAGCCACCCGCTGAGAAGCCTACCCTAGTAATAGGTAGCTCGATTCTGAGGAATGTGAAGCTGAACACCCCAGGGAGTGTAGTTAAGTGTATTCCTGGGGCCAGAGCGGGCGACATTGAGTCTTATTTGAAACTTCTGGCTAAGGGTAGACGTAGATACAGTAAGATTGTTATCCACGTAGGCGTTAATGACTCCCGGTTACGTCAGTCAGAAGTCACTAAGTTAAATGTGGAGTCAGTTTGTAGATATGCTAGAACAATGTCGGACACCGTAGTTTTCTCTGGCCCCTTGCCCAACCTGGTTAGTGATGACATGTTTAGCCGCATGTCATCTTTCCGTCGATGGCTGGCGAGGTGGTGCCCAGCCAATGATGTGGTCTTTGTGGATCACTGGCAGTCTTTCTGGGGAAGACGTGGCCTGATTAGGAGAGACGGCATCCATCCCACGGGGGAGGGAGCCGCTCTCATTTCTAGAAACCTAGCCAACATTGTTAGCAGACTAGATCGGTGACAGTCCAGGGTTGAGAGGAGGAAGCGGAGTTGTAATGTAACCCTCTTCTCTGCTCCTCCATTCCAGGAGTTATTTAGTGAAAAACCTATAGAGACGGTGTCTGTCCCCCGGTCATTTAAATTGTTTAAATTAAGGGTAAACAGAGGAGTTGTCTATAGAAACCTCATAAAAGTTAAAACTACAAGAGAAATAGTGCATGCAAATAAGAGAGTAAAATGTGGACTCTTGAATATCAGATCTCTCTCTTCTAAAGGTGTGCTTGTAAATGAACTCATATCAGATTATAAGATTGATTTATTTTGTCTTACTGAAACCTGGCTGGGTGATGGAGAATATGTGAGCCTAAATTAATCCACCCCTCCCAGTCACAGGAATACTCACATTCCTCGAAGCACAGGTCGAGGAGGTGGAGTTGCAGCTATCTTTGACTCCAGTCTTGTAATCAGCTCTAAAGCTAAATTGAACTATAACTCTTTTGAAAGCCTTGTTCTGAGTCTTTCCCACCCAAGCTGGAAATCACTGCAACCTATTCTATTTATTATAGTGTACCGACCACCCGGTCCATACTCTGAATTCTTATCTGAATTTGCAGAGTTTTTGTCAACTTTAGTCCTTAAAACGGACAAAGTAATTATTGTAGGGGACTTTAATATCCATGTGGATGTTGAGAATGACAGCCTCAGTACTGCATTTATCTCTCTGTTAGATTCCATTGGCTTCTCTCAGAGTATTCATGAACCGACTCACTGTTTTAACCACACCCTTGATCTTGTTCTGGTGTATGGTATTGAAATTGAACATTTAATAGTGTTCCCACATAATCCGTCTTTATCTGACCACTGTTTGCTAACTTTTGAGCTTTTACTGCTGAATTACCCTCCACTGGGTAAAAATGTCTACTCAAGATGCCTGTCTGATAGTGCTATAGCTAAATTTAAGGATGTGATTCCATCAGCTCTACATCCATTATCAAGTCGTACAGAAACAGAGGACTCTTATGTTAATTTCAGTCCTTCCCAAGTTGATCATCTTGTTGATAGTGTTGAAGGCTCGCTGCGAACAGCTCTTAACGCTGTAGCCCCCCTAAAGAAGAAAATTCTTAAACAAAGACGGTTAGCTCCATGGTATACTAGTGAAACCCGCAAATTAAAGCAGATATCTCGGAAACTTGAGAAGAACTGGCGTTCAACCAAGCTGGAAAAGTCTCGTTTATCTTGGCAAGATAGTCTTAAAGCTTATAGGAAGGCCCTCCGTGATGCCAAAGCAGCATATTACTCGTCTTTAATTGAGGAAAATAGGAACAATCCCAGGTTTCTTTTCAGCACTGTTGCCAGGCTGACTGAGAGCCACAGCTCTATTGAATCAAGTATTCCAATAGCTATCACTAGCCATGACTTCATGAGCTTCTTTAACGATAAAATTCTAGCTATCAGGAACAAAATCCACCAAGACTTGCCCTCAACTAGCATCGACTTATCTTTAAACTCAGTAACTGTAGGACCAGAACCAGTTATATGTTTTGACTGTTTTGCTTCCCTCAATCTTTGTCAACTAACTTCAATCATTTCTTCATCCAAACCTTCAACTTGCCTCTTGGATCCCATCCCGACTAGGTTGCTTAAAGAAGTCCTACCCTTAGTCGGTACTTCTCTGCTAGACGTGATCAATCTGTCCTTATTAACAGGCTATGTGCCACAGTACTTTAAAGTTGCTGTAATTAAGCCTCTTTTGAAAAAGCCTAACCTGGACCCAGATGTTTTAGCCAACTATAGACCTATATCCAACCTTCCATTCATCTCCAAGGTCCTGGAGAAAGCAGTAGCCAAACAGCTGTGTGACTATTTACATAGCAATAGCTTGTTTGAGGATTTTCAGTCAGGATTTAGAGCTCACCATAGCACAGAGACCGCACTGGTGAAAATTACTAATGACCTCCTAATGGCATCAGACAAAGGACTCGTCTCTGTCTTGGTTTTATTAGATCTTAGTGCTGCTTTTGACACCATTGACCATCAGATCCTACTACAGAGACTGGAACATTTCATCGGAATTAAAGGAGCCGTTCTAAGTTGGTTTAGGTCCTATTTATCAGATCGGTTTCAGTTTGTGCATGTTAACGATGAGTCCTCCATGCATGCCAGAGTTAGCCACGGAGTTCCGCAAGGATCCGTTCTCGGACCAATCCTCTTTACTTTATATATGCTTCCTTTAGGTAATATTATCAGGAAACACTCTATCAACTTTCATTGCTATGCAGATGATACTCAGTTATACCTATCGATCAAGCCAGATGAAACTCATCAGCTAGCTAAGCTTCAAATGTGCCTTCAGGATGTTAAAACCTGGATGACCTGCAATTTTCTAATGTTAAACTCAGCTAAAACTGAAGTTATTGTTCTAGGGCCTAAACACCTTCGTGACGCATTATCTAGAGATATAGTTTCCCTGGATGGCATCGCCCTGGCCTCCAGCACCACTGTGAGAAATCTTGGAGTTATCTTCGATCAGGACATGTCGTTTAACTCTCACATTAAGCAAATTTCAAGAACCGCCTTCTTTCACCTTCGTAATATTGCAAAAATTAGGAGCATCCTGTGTAAAAATGATGCAGAAAAACTAGTCCATGCATTTGTTACTTCTAGGCTGGATTACTGCAATTCCTTGTTATCAGGGTCTTCAAAAAAGTCCATTAGGACTCTTCAGCTGATCCAGAATGCTGCAGCACGTGTTCTTACAGGAACCAGAAAAAGAGATCATATTTCTCCTGTCTTGGCTTCTTTGCACTGGCTTCCTGTTAAATCCAGAATAGAATTTAAAATCCTTCTCCTTACGTATAAAGCTCTTCATGGTCAGGCCCCATCTTATCTTAAGGAGCTTTTAGTACCTTACTGCCCTACCAGAGAACTGCGCTCCCAGAATGAAGGGTTACTGGCAGTTCCTAGAGTCTTGAAAACTAGAATGGGCGCTAGAGCGTTCGGCTATCAGAGTCCTCTTTTGTGGAACCAGGTTCCAGTTTGGGTCCGGGAAGCAGACACCGTCTCTATATTTAAGAGTAGGCTTAAGACTTTCCTTTATGATAGAGCTTATAGTTAGAGTAAGTCCACCCCTGGTTGTGCTGCTATAGGCCTAGACTGCCGGGGGAGGCATCATGATGCACCGAGCTCCCCTTTCCTTTCTCTCTCTCCCTCCCGGTGCAACCTCATTCCATTAACAATGTTACTAACTGGACTCTCTCCCTTCCCCGTAGTCGTGTGCTTTCTCGTCCCCCTTCTCTCTTCTCTCTCTTCCTAACACTTTCTGCAGATATTCCTGGCTCTGGAGCTGTGGGGTCTGGATCTGTGGTTGGGAGTCTCCTCCTATCACTTCCTGCAGGTGTTCCTAGAGCTGTGGAGTCTGGATCTGTGGTTGGGAGTTTCCTGCTGCCCCCATGTTCCTGCTCATCATTAGCATTAATATCATTGCCATTTTTAATCTATTCTACGTGTTGCTGTGTTGGCTGCCCCTCTCTGCTCCTTCTGTCCTTCTCTCGCCCTCTCTCTCTCTCTTGCTCTCTCTTTCCCCTCACCCCCAACCGGCCGAGGCAGATGGCCGCCCACCCTGAGCCATGGTTCTGCTCAAGGTTTCTGCCTGTTAAAAGGAAGTTTTTCCTTGCCTGTGTCGCCTAGTGCTTGCTCATGGTGGGAATTGTTGGGTTTCTGTAGTTAACTTCAGAGTAGGGTCTGACCTGCTCTGTTTGGAAAGCGCTGTGAGACAACTGTTGTTGTGATGTGGCGCTATATAAATAAAATTGAATTGAATTGAATTGGGAGGGTAGTTGATCAGAATGGCAACGTTTTCATGTTGTTTGTCAGGTTTAAAGTCACGGCAGGATGGAGTACAACTTGTGTTATTTCAGTGGCTTTCGGTGTAGTTTAATTAAAAAAACGGACGTGACGGGCGGAGTGGGGGACGTTGTCATAACAGAATAATGGTTTCATTTGGCAGAGCTCAGCGTGCCAGGAGGCACAGGTTTCACTCCGTAGTTATTCCTGAGAGTCAGATTTCAGAGTGGATTGTGGCAAGAGATGAAAGGAGAAATGGCTAAAGTATTAACTCTATTCCTGCCAAGTTCTATTCAAAGGAGGAAGGCAGCAAATAGACCCCGCCTAACTTTGCCAACACCTTTCCAGACTTCCACAGTTTTTTTTTTTTTTACAGAAGAACCAACCTGACATTTGATTTTGTTTTGTATTCAGTTTAAAGTATTTCACACACCAGTAGTTATGCACCACCTTGCTTAGTGGTCGTGGAACAGTGAACCGGATCTACTAAAGGAGTCTTGGGAGTTTGAACATCCACTCTACATGTCTTTTAAAAAAAGGCTTACAATTGTGTTCCCTGATGGATCCTATAAAGTGGAGCAAGAGCAGTAAGGTATGAAGTAACAGGGATTAAAGTCAGAAAAGCAGTAAAGAAACAAAAAAAACTGACTGAACATAAGTAAAGAAACAAAGATTAAAAACAAATAAAAGACACTGAACTCAAAATTTCAAACTGAATTCAAGAATTACAAATTGAAGGATTTTTAAGACAGTTTTTCCAAACTGAAAAAACTCTGGATTTCTGCTCACGCAAGAGACTTTCCGAAAAGCGCGACCAATCGCAGACGGTAAAATGAAGCACCCTGAGAAGGAAAATCCTCCTACCTTTGTTGTCTCGCAGGGTGAAGTTGAGGTTGCCGGCGACGGTGGCAGCCAGGGCGAAATAAAAGCGATGTCCGTTCAGAGGTTCGTCTTTATCCACCGCACTGATGGTCTGAATCACCTGAGAACAAGGGGCAAAGAATAAAAAAAAGACATTCAAAATCAGCTAACTTGCTGATCTTTATCTGTTTTCATTGGGTGATTAGATGTTAACTGAAGCTGTAAATTGTTTAATGTGTGCAAGCAAAAAGGAGCCGCTTCTTTATTTCTCACGGATTATCTCGAGTAAAGTATTGCTATCAAACCTTTGTATACGCATCTCTCTATGCTTAGTGATAGATTTATGCCCCTAGAAACATAGATCATTCTGTGAAAAAGCCAGGCAACAATGTGCATGAATTGGAAAAAAAAAAAAAATTGATTCTGATTGATGGAAAAGGTTTGTTTTATAATGTTTGGCTGTGGTTTCGAATCGTTTATTCCCTGAAGTACAGTAAGTGCTTATTTGGCAAGAGCTTGGCAACCTCTTAGGGATGAAGTGTTTTCCTTTGTGGAGGTGATTTCTAAAAAAAGAAAATCATTGTACACAGATTTTTTTATTTTTTTTTATCTCAGTGCTCGGACCACAACACATTTGACATGTTCATTATTAACGTCCTGACAGTTTGCATGACAAAAAAAACAACAAAATGAGATACAAATACATGCTAAAGGTTCCAGGGAATGATGTGCAAATACATAAAGCTGCTCAATGACTAACATGATTGTTTCCTGCCTCGGTTAAGGCTAAATTAATACCACCGTTACATGAGAAAAGGATTTGCACGTGAAGGTTGTTATGCTGCTTTATGTGTTAATTGCTCCTTTAAGGAGTTACTGTGAGCTTCAGGAAGCTGGTATGATTCAACATTTACACTTTGCTATTTTGAGAGAAAATCTAAATGCACTTAAGCTTTCATCCAAAAGGGAAATAATTATCCTTGAGGCATAGGTTTGGAAAATTATCTTAATGCTTAGTAATATCTAGATATCCAGACCACGACTCAAGCTGAGTTTTAACTTGATTATGCAGACTGCAGCTACATATTTTACACACTGGCAGTTTCTTTTAAATATAGCAAAAAATATCCGTGGATGAATTTAGGTGAAAGCAATAATTAAATAAGATTTAGTCCTTGTGAGAAATTTGGTAAAATTTTAAAAGTTAAAGCAATGAAGCATAAAATAGAAAACACTTCAAATAGGATAAGAAAACGTTTGAATTGATAATTCTATTTGACATTTTTTAAAATATTATTTCATTTTGTTTGTTTATTTCAGCAAAAATATTTAATATTTCAGGTGACTGACGTCAGCCTCGTGTGGTTTTCTTACAAACTGTCGGGTTTGCTCATGTTTCTCCCTCAAAGAGTTGTTTCTTACACACACCTATCCTTGAATAACACTTTGAATTACTTTAAAAAAAAGACCAAAGCTAGGATTTTGATGTAGTGTTGGATGTCATAGCGCTACATCAAACTATGGCCCACAGCTGTGCAAACCACACACCAAACTTTTTAACAAGACTTTACACCTTGAAATATGTTCCGCTCAAGGTAGTCACTGACTGTTTTCTTTCTTTACCCGATACATTCAGAGATGAACCTGCTCTGTGAAATATGTCCATCTGCCACTACCCCATACTTTAACAGCTTAATTCTTACTGGAAGTATTTTCAATTATTGACAGCTGAATAGGAAATAATGTGTGTATTTAATTAAAAAGAGAAAGAACATGCAGCCCAGTACAATCATCTTTATTAATAGTTAATTAACCGATCGCGAGGAAAGTCGGATGACCTTTGGGCTCCATCCAGAGCCAGAGGAAATAATATTCAGCACAAGCAATCACAGTAATGAAATAATAAAAACACATTTCTTCAATTTTAATATCTCCTGGTCCATCGGACACAAAGGCCTCGGGTACCACGTTAAAATGCGATGCCAGGTCAATCTGTATTTAGACTAATGCTGTCCAACATTAATGTGAATAGATTGCGTCCATCCACATTGTCCACTGCTTATCTGGGGACGGGTCAGGGGGGCAGAAGCCCAAACAGGGAAACCCAGACTCCCCTCTCCCATACCACTTCAAACCTTCATATTGGTGATCGCTATCTATTTTCCCCCTCTTCATTTTCCCTTCTGATCCCAGGACTTAAAAAGAATCTCCCTCCTTTTATTATACAACTGTGTTGACAACTGTACAAATTTCCAAACCAAATTATCTTCACCCACCAGCATGGGCTGTAATGATTCTTTTTTTTTTTCCATCAAAAGATGCTATCCAAAAAATCTAGTTATCTCTTTTCAGAAATAAAAGCTTTAATTTTAGTATCTGGCAGCGGAGAGAGAAGAAAAAAAAAAAAAAGGGAAAGTCTTACTCAGTACATGCTGTACATGTGTGGCACATCACACACCAAGATGCCATATGGACGACAAATGATAGCCACCGCCACGGCCATCAAAGTGGGTGTTATTGCAGCAGTGTCCTTATAAATTTAGATCAAGCCTCCTGAATCCTTTGTTGGGCAATCTAGAAACTCCAACCCGGTGACAACTCACACCCGCGGACAGCCTCTAAGAGATTCTTAAAAGCAATTCACACTAAATTATCACATCTCCCAGCCACAAACAGCTCTGAGTCTAACATGGAGACGCAAACTAAATTAGTGAAAAGGGAAAACATTTAAAGGGTGACGGAGAGGATAGAAAGGAAAAATAAAAACCCGAAGATCCATCAGCGCGGAGACTTGGATTATCAGTTGTCAGCTGTGATTAAATGCTGCTGGTTACAAGCTGTCAGGTATTAAGCGCGTGTGTGTAGGTGGCAAACGACGTCCTGCCAATTATCAAAAACTGGCAGGCTGGATGCAAATTCTCGAATATCTCGCTCTTTTTCCGAACGAAAATGAAAATAGTTCATCAGAAAAAGTAAACACGGCGTGATCTTTGTTTACAGTTCGGCGCGGCAAAGAAAGAGGGACTTAAAACCGGATCCGAGAGGTGATCTTCTCCTGCTCCAAAGCGTTTGGGATACGTGTATATACAGGCAGAGGTGATGCTTGTGTCAGCATCAGATCAATGACAGTCGCATTCAACAACTGAGCACCTAAACATGCTGCGTATGCATGCCCCACTGCATCACAAGAAGCCGCCATTGATCCCGGGATCATAATAAACTCACCTGCCTCTCACTTTCTTATGGAAATTCAACATCTGATAGAAAGCATTCTTTGTGGTTCCCGCACCCACGGTGAGTCCTATACACAATTTGAACCCTTTGATGTCGTTTGAAAAATCACAGATGGATTCGGAGCTTATCTCGCGGAAGGTTTTCTATTCCTCACAGCGGAGGACGAGGACTGTAAATCATCTCCAAATCAAACACTTTGTAATGTATAATGCCTTTCATTAGCGTTGCTCTGATGCGACGTGTTCCAGCAAACCTTTGGTGGGGGGGGGGGGGGGGGGGGGGGATCCGTTAATGGGTTGAGTGGGAGATAGGAGGAGAGAGGCATGGTCGTAGACATAAATTCTCCTTGAAAGACATTAACGGCGCGAGCCGACTGGTGCCTGTCGCAAGGCAAGACCAAGGAGGCCAATGAATCACCGAATTAAAGGTTTCTGGAGTTTACACTTGGATGCATGTCAGATCAAAGAAGATATTATAGGACAAAGGTGTCTGTGTTTGTCACTTCGAAGCAGGCGTAAAAGAAAAATCACAAACAAAAGCGACACGAATTTGCACATATTAATAAGGAGCAGAGAACTACGGAGGGTGATGGTTACACATTCCCAGCTAAATGTGACAGATTTTTAATGGGATATTCTATGTGTCTTTTCTCCAAGTTGATTACATTTCTTGAAATTATCATAAAACATGTGTTAAATGCTTTAAACGCTTTCCTCCAGATGTGCTAAGCAAAGGCAATTCAGATAGCTGAGACATGAGGCAAACATGAGTACAACAACCAACAATTTGGGCATAGTCTGAAATCTTAGAATCTTTTGTGTGTCCTAAAGGATCAGTCACAAGCATGAAGTTTGTAATATTTTTATGTTCTATCCCCTAATCAATACTGTTGGAATGAGAGAATACACAAAAACAGAAGAAAAGAAACCTCTTGTTGAGAAAATCGCTCTCTGTGCCGAGAAAGGTCTAAAAAGAAAAGAAAAATTATGAAAGAATTGAACACATTTTAGATGTGGACGAGGAGAAATCTTGTCAAAAGAAAACGGCAAAAACTGACAGTCTCCACTTCAGACGGTGAAAACAACAGTCTCATAATAGAAAATGTATTGTTAAAAGGTGTGATAATACTTTATCATTAGGGAGGACCTCATGTCCAATGACAAGTAAACAAGTTAATGCTGTAGTTTTGGGTATCATAAAGAAATAGGACTAGGAAATGTGAGTGAAGAGTATAGCTCATCACATATTTTTTTATGAAAACCATTTTAAATTGATTATGTATGCAAAAGTTTCCGGCTCATTTAATGGTGGTCTTGAGCAATAGTTCTGCAGTCTTTCAGGTTTTTTTTTTTTTTTCTGTTTGACATCGGCTGTTTCAGTCCTGTCCTCATGCCTGGCCATTTTCATCAGAATACGATTTTTAAAAAAACATTTTCTTTTGTTAACATCTAATAGCACTAAAGCAATAGATGAATATCCATGTGTCCATAAGAAGTAAGAAAATAATCCACTAAAGCACAGGACCTGAGAGATACATCTGGACCTTCTTTTTTAACCATTTACAGTTCACTGTAGCCTCATCAGAAATGATTTCCACGCTGTGCCTTTTCTGAAACAAAAAGTGAACTGAAAATCAATGCTAACAGCTCTGATGGAGGAATGAGTCCTCCTCAGATCCTCAAACTCAACCTTCATCTCAATGGAACAGAAGGCCATCAACATCAAAGGATGAGTTTTGGAATGTCCTTCAAGTAGCCTGGAGATCAATTTTCTTAAAGAAAGTAGACAAAACTGTTCTTAGAAGGTTCAGGATATACAAGAGAATAAAGGTGCACACATTAAATATTGACTATGAGCTAATGAGAACTGCAATCATTCCGTTTCTGTCTTGTATATTGACTTTTTCTTGGACAATGTTCTATTACG